GCGAGGGTCAACGTTGGCTCAACTCTAATCAACTCAACCGGGGGCCGACTCAACTCGCCTCATCCTCATGTGCAAGCAAACCCATCCAACCTTATCCACACCTAGAGCTGGCCATTGAATAATAATTGGGCTGTTCCATGTTAGAATCTCAGCCACTACACTGCTGGGATAAAATGGCTTGTTAAGTAGCAAATGAGTGCACCCATAACCCCCCATGCAAGCGTGCTCGTAACCCTTCCATATGATCCCTAGTGCACGTCTTCTTACACCCATTCACTGAAATGTTCTAAGGCACGGCACAGCGACAAGGACACATGGGGCGCCAACATGTGTGCACATGGGAACTCGAACTCAAGATTTTTGCTCTGATACCATGTCAGAATCTCAATCACTACACCATTGGGCTAAGGGTCTATAAAGTAGCGGGTGAGTGTGCCCATAATTCCCAAAGCAATCATGTCTGTAGCTCTTCTCTAGGATCAATCGGGGATCCCCAGTGCAAATATTTTGACAATCTACTCACCGACTATTTTGTCGACCACTTGCTGCAGGCACAAGTAGTCCCCCACTAGCACACTGGGCACATCCCCATCCACATGCCATGTGACTGAAAACGCACCCACCCACATGCACACGCAGGAAAATCAGGCCAACATGAGAAACGCAAGCAGAAATAGGCGATCTGTGTGAAGTGATTAGAATTCTCACTGCAGCATTCAGATATTAGAATGTGAAGACTCACAGATCGCGTTAACATGAGCACAAAGCAGTGAATGATTGTGATTGTATCGGCTGAGTGGATCTTACTTCACCAACGGGATTACAACCTTCAGAACAAGGAGACATCGAAAGGAAGAAAACTCTTTGCTTGACGTTTTGAGACGGCTCTTTCTCGCAGGAAACTCAGGCCCCTCATGGGCACTCATGGCCACTCATCATGCCCACTCCTGCCCACTCGTAGTCACCCATGCACCTTATTGCCACGAACCTTCCATGCCAAAGATTGGGGTGCGCAGCTCAAGCAATGTGTTGGCGATGTGTGCACCCTTGTTGCGCTCCGCCACCTCCGCCTTCTCCTTCACAATCGCCATAGAAATAGTCTTCTCGCGCAGCCTCCGCATGTTGATCGTCACGCTCACGCCAATGGCAGCCAGCAGTGCCGCCACCACAAGGATGATCACCCCCAGGAACACAGCAGACATGCTGTGGGCTTCGTCCGAGCCATGAAAGCTAGGGGTTAGGGGAGGCGAATTAGGGGCAATGGGAGCAGATGGAATGGATCTTGATTGAATAGGACGCATTCCATATCGAGTGCATTCCATATTGAGCATATTCCATATTGAGTGCATTCCATATTGAGTGCATTCCATACTGAGTGCCCTTATCGAGTGCATTCCATATCGAGTGCATTCCATTGGGTCTTGAAAGACTGGAAGTGCATTAGGTGCAACATGGGCAAAAAGTGGTTTTGATTCGCCTAAAGAAGCTCTGTCACGTAGGATTGACACGACGAGCCGTCATCAAAGGGAGACGGCGAGAAAGGGGAAGTTGAAAGGAGCGGTTATAATGGAAGAGCAGCGCGTCCCTAGAAGCGACTCACTGGCACCGCCAGCGCTGGTAGCTCCGTGATCAATTGGTAGTTGTGAGGAGGGTTGTGAGCAAGAGGGTTCAGAGCGGGAGGGTTGTGAGCGGGAGGGTTGTGAGTGGGAGGGTTGTGAGTGGGAGGGTTGTGAGCAGGAGGGTTGTGAGCGAGAGGGTTTTGAGCGGGAGGGTTGTGAGCGGTAGGGTTGTGAGCGGTAGGGTTGTGAGTGGTAGGGTTGTGAGCGGTAGGGTTGTGAGCGGTAGGGTTGTGAGAGGTAGGGTTGTGAGGGGGAAGAGGAATCGCCGTGAGGTGAGAAGGGAGAGAAACAAGATTTACGGACTGGACAAGTAGAGCACACCAGAATACTTGCCATAGGGGAGCCGTTTGGGAGAAACGACAGTGTATGCCTGGAAGCAACTCACCGGCACCAGAGCTGGTATGTTCTTGATATGTCGGTGAGATTGATCTGCTGCACTGACTTGTGGCGCTGCGGCTGCAACATGGTTTCGTTCGAGGGCGGAATGATCTTAGCCACTTGCAAGGGGTCGCCTTGAGGCACGTCCAAGCCCCCCACCCCGTACAGCAGGCGCGGACCATCCATGGGGTTGACGTCATAGACCTCAAGGGAACGCTCCACGCCTGCAGTGCAGCAGCACGAGGGGCACGCTCTGCTTTGGTTAGCACAGCGCAACAAGCGTGTGACGGGAGCAGCACGCAGCGCAGGCAACCAGCATCTAGGCAACTTGCATGACATACAACTCAATGAATGGAAATGCCATTCTTAAGCCATCCCTAAGTCGGTGGAAACGTGGACGCGAATGCACTAGGGGAACACAAGAAGGGAAGGTGGTGGGCGCCTTTGAATCTCATCAGTGAAAATTCTCGTGCCCTACTGAGTACTTCGTTGTGCGGAAACACTAACAGCCTAGTTCCTGAAACGGTACCAATCCCCCCCCCACAACATTACTGAAAAAATCAAGTCACGATTGGTGTTGGTAATTACTGTACAGCTTGCTCATTGTCACCACGGCCAACCGCACTGCACACCTTGTCGGAGCACTTCAAGAATGATGGATTCGGCGAGACGATCAAAGTCCACCGACACCGCCATAACCCATGATCGCTGCCTGCCTCTCTGCCCACGGCGCTGCTGCCGTCACGTTGCCCTCGAAGATCGGGAACATCATGGCTGGAGCATGAGAGGAGAAAGAGAGTGGACATGAGATGAAATGGACAACCAAATGGAAAGAGGTGAAATTGGGAGATGGGGAAGCGAGGGCGAGACAGAAACACAGAAAGCAACGAGAAAGCGCGAGGGACAGGAGTGAGAGAGGGATGCAGAGAACACCAAGGAGAGACACATGCCAACATGCTTGGGAAGAGGAGTGCCCACTCCTCATGCAGTCAATCATACGCCTCTGCACCCGCTCGCTCACCCATGCCGGGATAGGCATTGTTTAGAAAATAGGGCATGGTGAGGATGGCTGCACCCGTGATCTTCATGCGCGTCAGCTCCGGCCCGTACGACGGGTGCAGGCGGCCATCGGAGCAAGTCGCGCTGTTCTCAACCAAGGGGAAGGGACCCTGCTCGTCGAACCAGAAGCACATGTCCATGTACCAGTCTGCGGGTGGGGCACGCCTCTCCTGCATGTCCCCCGGTGTGTGTAAGTAGAGCTACACTGTGAGATCCCCGATCGATCCTAGGGGGGGTTACAGGCGCATTTGCCTGGGGGGTTATGGGCGCACTGACCCGCTACTGAAACAGACCCTCTTATCCCAATGGTCTAGTGGTTGGGATTCTGACATGGTATCAGAGCGGTCTCGGGTTTGAATCCCGGTGTATGCACATGTTGGCCGTTGCCACTGTGCTCAGTCCTGGGCCTCCCAGTGTGGGGGGGTGTCAGTAGAGCTATACTGTGAGATCCCCGATCGATCCTAGGGGGGGTTACATGCGCGTTTGCCTGGGGGGTTATGGGCGCACTGACCCGCTACTGAAACAAGCCCTTTTATCCCAATGGTCTAGTGGTTGGGATTCTGACAGTGTGCACCCCATTCGCCGCTCAAAAACCGCCCTGCAGGACATGCCACGAAATGCCATGAAGGGAGGGGAAACATGCGGGAAACATGCGGGGAACTGTAAGTCAAAATTCCGCAGCTCTGCTTCGCACCGGATCCTGTTTGTAGTCGACCATTTCTCACTCAATGCGCTTGAGGTGGTCCAAACCAAGCCGAGGTTGTAACTCGAGGATTCTCAATGCCGATGAATGCTCAACGGGTTTGGATTGATGAGGGCTCAGGGGTCTGGCGCCGAACCAGGCGAACAACTGTAGTTCGAGCCGAACCTGATCTGGTTTGTCCAGCAAGCCAAATATAGGACGCAGTTGGGTTCAAGGCGCAGTGGTATGATTGTATTGTTGTAAGCACACACGCACGCACGCACTCAACCTCTCACCTGAATAACGCAATGGTGGGGCAGTGAAATATTATTTGACGCTTCACCTCACCCAGAAAGTGACAAAGCCGCTGCTCATGGTACGCATGGGCACTGGCCCGAGCCAATACCGCTGGTCATCACCTCGGCCCATCGATAGGTCGAGCAAAGCGATTCCACTTCGCCAACTTGTCACAAATCGACCCGCCGGCCGGTTCATCAACTCGCCTGTCATTCAGAATCAATCAGGCAGCTTCCGGCTTGTCTGGATGCGGAAACGTATAGATTCGATTCGACCCAGATCCATCCAGCAGATCCAGCTTCCGGCTTGCGCGAATGCCAGATCCGGGTGAAACCGGCAGACAAAGACAAGCCGTACCGGCTCACCCCGGCTCAGGCGGCATGCCTAAATGGACGAGGCACAAGCCCGCCTTCTCACCAGCTCGGCTCGTCGAGCCAAGCCTCTAGCTCGTATTATTCGTTGGGATATATCCTAGCATGCAGTCCGCAGCGACACATGCAAAGAAACACTCAAAACAAAGTCGGCGAGAGACGTGAACGGGGGACGGGAGCGAGGGAGGGCACGCGGGAGGCAAGAGGTGGCGCATGGGAAGAAGGTGACAGAAGTGTGAAGGCGAGAGTGAAGGCAGCAGCAGCAGCAGGTTTGAGGGCGGGGGGAGGGGGGGGAGGCACACCTGTCAGAGTCGTTAACAAAGGCTCCGTAGGCAATGGCGTGCACCCAGGGGCGGGCGGCCTGCGTGCGGAGAATGTAGTTGGCAAAGAGCTGCTGAGTCAAGTTGTTGTGCGCCCCCCATGGGTCCTTTTGTATCCTCCCAAACACCATCACCAACCCCTCCACCGCCTGCACGCATGTGTGGGTGGTTTGGGATGGGTGGAGTGGGGTGGGGATGGATGGGTGGGTTATACTTGTGGAGATGAGCTAGGTGAGTGAGGAGCGGTGGTGGTGCAACGAGGCACGGAAGCATGTCACAGGGTGATGGTGGCAGAGGGTGATGGTGTCACAGGGGGCGCCTGATGCACGCATGGGAATGCATGGGGGGGCGCATGGGTTGACACATTAGGGGCTGCATGGTGGGGAGTATGTGAAGAATCATGGGGGCGGAAATGGAGGAGCATGAGAAATGCACAACCACCTTCCCACCACCCCGATTGCCCCTTCCCTGGATCTTTGTTAATCTAGTGATTTCCTTTTACCCACCCGACTCTTGAGTTGCGACGACGAAGGTTTTATACTGGAAAACAACACATTTTTACCAGAGGTGTACATTAGTTGAAACGTTACTACAACTATCTGTCTTTATAGCTTTCTTGTTATCCTACCCCCGACAAACTAAAATCACCAAAAACAAATCCGCGCCATGAGTCGAAACCCATTTCGAGAATGACGGTAGAGATCACGTCATGCTTTCCAAGGCAGTGCGAGGAGCAAACGGTGGAAGGACGGGAACGCTGAGCACGCGGGAGCAACCGCGGAGGGAACGAGGAAGCCAAGGGATGACTCTACTATCGCGCGGCGCGAAAATGAACCTTCGTCACTGACTACGCACCGAACGTGTGCAACGCAATGCAATGAAGCCGAAGCGACGCGACGCAGTGCAATGAAGCCGAAGCGACGCGACGCAATGCAATGAGCCGAAGCGACGCGACGCGATGCAATGAGCCAAAGCGACGCGACGCGATGCAATGAGCCGAAGCGACGCGACGCGATGCAATGAAGCCGAAGCGATGCGACGCGTTGCAATGAGCCGAAGCGACGCGACGCGATGCAATGAAGCCGAAGCGACGCGATGTGATGCAATGCAGGTACCTACACGTGGTTGGCCACGGACATGAACTGCTAGGAATGTCACACGGCACACCATACCTTTCGCCTACTAGTAGTACTACACGTGCCAGATGGTCGTCGATCTACCGCGTGTCGATCGTCTGCTACCTTAAAGTGGTCGGCCGCGGACATGAACTGCTGCTGCAGCGGGCGCGTGCGACCGGCGAACCAGGTGTCGAGCTCCGCCTTGCGATTGTCGTCGAAGCCCTTCTGCACCCTCCACGCCACCAGCCCCGCCAGCACGCCCGCAAGCCCCATCCACACCGCCACCTCCGCTGCCATACGCGCTATCATCTTAAAAAAAAATTCACACCACCGCTAGCCTCGTTCACTATTAGTGTTATGTGCTTTGCACAGGAGCCAAACACCAGATTGGTGTGACCGACTCCTTCCGCGTACGGTGTGGAAAGTACCCTTCAGAAATGGAATCCTGGCGTGTCGATTCCATAACACTTGGCGCATCTTCATTCCCCTGTGGCGTCTCAGTTTGGTGCAGCTGGGTGCCGCATGTCTCTCCCAATCCAAGTGTTGCACCAGATCATCGCCATGGCTCTTTTTTATTATCGTCGCCCACAATGCTGGGCTAGTAGATATGACTGTACAGCATCCCCCCAACTTTCCTATGATGCAGAATGGACCACACGTGAGGAACCTTCCAAAACTGCCAGAAACCGTCCTTGCACGGTGGTACTACAATCGGTGCTCATTACGAGAACACCAGGTAGTCGAGCAGCATCCCACTGAAACGTGTTTTGGTGTTTCGTTGACCTTCTCTTTGTCAGAATCCCAACCACTAGACCATTGGGATAAAAGGGCTTGTTTCAGTAGCGGGTCAGTGCGCCCATAACCCCCCAGGCTAACATGCCCGTAACCCCCCAAGGATCAATCGGGGATCTCACAGTGCAGCTCTACTGACACCCCCCCACACTGGGAGGCCTAGGACTGAGCACAGCGGCAACGGCCTGCATGTGCATACACCGGGATTCGAACCCGAGACCGCTCTGATACCATGTCAGAATCCCAACCACTAGACCATTGGGATAAAAGGGCTTGTTTCAGTAGCGGGTCAGTGCGCCCATAACCCCCAAAGCTAACATGCCTGTAACCCCCCAAGGATCAATCGGGGATCTCACAGTGCAGCTCTACTGACACTCTTGTGTCCCGACCAGCAAAAATATGAATATATGGAAACTAAAAATGCTTCTGTAACTCAGTCAACAATTCTGACGACGAACGCGAGCAAACCTTGTTGTTTATGACTTGTAGATGTCGGCTTCCGCAAAAACGTTCACGCGTGATCATTGTACCTCATTCTTCTGCGATAAGGATGAGCATCGACTGTAGCGAATCTTGACGATTTGTACAAGATATATGTTCAAAATCAGAAAAAAACTGAGCCAAGAGGAACGAAATTATCGAGCTGCTATACGTAAATATAATGTTAAAAGAAATACAAGCATAGCAAATGAATAGTACCATATTCCCCAAAAAGGTTGGTTGCGTGGGATTTTATTTTTGTCACCTAGTTTAGTGCATGAAAAAAACTAACTTCATAGTTAATGCAACATATTTACGACATTGTTTTATTCACGCTTGTTGTTTTACTTTCAATTACGGTAGGGAAACGAGGTCCCATGCTCTGCGGCACTACAGGGTCTTGAATTGTTGAGATGGGACATTGTTGGCTTTGCGGAAGCATTTTAGGACCGTAGTGTAACTAGAATTGGACTCGTAGAGAGTTGTGTAAGATTGAGCGCATGCAAATGTGAAATAATCGAAGGTTGAATATGAGCACAATGTGTCAAACTATATACATATTTATTAGTTATATGCTGCAGTGGGGTAGCCCATATAGGGTTAGTACTTGTACAATTCCTTCCTCATGGTCAAACATTCTTTTGCCTATTACCTTAACATGGTATCAGAGGCTAGGTTAGGTCCAATTGCTGTACCTACTGACGTACCTACTGCCATACCTAGGTTAGGTCTGCCCCACGCTGCCCCTCGGGCGCTGCCTTTTGCATGCCTCGCGCTGCCGCGCGCGCCCCTAGCTGTCCCGAACGCGCTGCCCTGCACGCGCCCTTCCCGCCGCCCTGCGCGTTGCCCTCCGCGCGCCCTTCCCGCTACCTTGTGCGCCGCTGCTGCCCGTGCACCGCACGCTGCCCTGCCTCGTGCGCTCGCGCTGCGTCGTGCGCTCACGTTGCCCCCCGCGTTCGCCCTACCACGCGCGAAGCCCTTCGCACTTCCTCGCGTGCGCCACCACCGCTGCTCGCGTGCTGCCCCTGCCTCGTGCGCCGTTGCTGCCTGGCGTTGCCGCGCTGCTGCCCCATGTGCCACCGCTGCCCCGTGCGCCTCCGCTGCCCGGTGCGCCCCTGCTGCCTTGCACCATCGCGGCTCAGGCGCGGTCGCTGCCCCGCGCGCCGCCGCTGCCCCGTGTGCTGCTGCTTCCTGGCACCGCCGCTGCCCGTGCGTCGCTGCCGTGCACTGCTGCCCCGTGCGTCGCTGCTGCCTGGCGCCACTGCTGCTTGGCGCCCCCCGCTGCTCATTCGCCGCTGCCACGCCTCCGCTGCCCTATGCGCCGATGCTGCTTGATGCCGCTGCTGCCCCGTGCGCCGCCGCTGCCTGGCGCCACCGCTGTCATTGCACTACTGCAACCCGTCTACCACACCACCGTCGTTGGTGCCCTTGCGCAGCTGCTGCCCTTGCACCGCCATTGCTGCCTGTGCGTTGCACCGTCGGAGGTGCCACCGAAGCGCCACATCGTCACTCCTGCCGCCCGTGCGCGGCTACTACCCGTATGCCGCACCACCGCCACTCCCGCCCATGCGCCACTGTCGCTAAGCGATGCTGCCTATCATGGCGGCGCCTAGCGTACTGACCTTTTACGCAGAGGGACGACCGATCGAATACGAGTCCTAGCTTCTAGACCTTCACTCGTACCTGCAGAGTGTAACCAAGGACGATGCCTCGCTTTTTTAGCACACGTCGGGGTCCCTATCTGCCCCATCTGAGTTGATCGACACCTGGCTCTACCGCTACTAAGGCTCTGCGGTAGCAGTTTAGGATTGATCGCATTGCCCATACACAGTGGTTAGCACGCGACGCCACTACCCAACTTGCACTCTGCTCTCACCTCCCGCCCGACCATAGGTCCCACTTTCGCCAGCTGAAAACGAACTCTAAGTGCAACTCCTCCTCCTCTTCTGCCACCCTAGGACTCCTTGCGATGCCGTTTCTCTTCCCAAGCTGTCTGACTTCACCACTGTAGCTGATCTCATGACTCATCTGCGCTCCCTTGACACCTGCTAACGTGTTGCTCTTAATTCGGAGTTTCTGGCTGAATACCAGCCCTCCATGTATCTCACTCTCTACCTCCTCACGACTCGACTCCCTGACTCTCTTCGTGCCTTTCGAGACCACTTCCTCTTCCTAGACCCCACTGTGCTCACCCTTGCCTCGCTTGAGTCCCGTCTCCTTGAGGCCGAAACCAGTGCCTGCGCTGTAGCTGCCTCCTGTGGTACTCCCCGCCCCTCATTCTTTGAGGGGTTTTCCCCCTCCCTTCTCGCGCCTGCTATTGCCTCTGCTGGCCTGTTGACTTCCTTGGGGGACGTCGGTGCTGCGTCTGCACCTAGTGGGAGGTGTCGCGGTAAGGGTGCTCGTCCTAGGGGTTGGGGCGGTGGAGGTGGTGGAGGGGGCGATAACGGTGGCAGTGGCGGTGGTGGTGGCAGTGGCGGTGGCGGTGGTGGGGTTAGTAGAGATGGCGGTGGTGGTGGAGGTGGGGGGAGGTGGTGGAGGCGGTGAGGGTGGTGGGGTTGGTGGAGGGGGCGCGGGGTGGCGGTCGGGGTGGAGCTGGCAAGGGTGGAGGCTCGTTCGGCTACCAGAGGAACTGCAACTGGTGAGGACGGAGGTTCTGGGGGTGGATAGCAGCAACAATCACGTTGGCAGGAGACCCTCTCACCGCAGCCTCCATGAATGGGTTGCCTAGCGAGGCGGCCCCGGAGGCGGAGCACGTCCGACGCACGGTTCCCCGCCCTGGAGAATTCTGCGGCAGGCTGGGGCACACTGAGGATCGCTTCTTCTACCACCTCGACAACGCCTTTCACGCGGAGTTTGGTGAGCAGGCCAAGATTCGTGACTGGTTAGGATTGCTCAAGAAGGTCGTAGATGTATATTTTCTTGATTGGGACCAAATCTCTGGTGGCATGTATGCTATGTATGCTGCCAGTGCCAGTGCTGAGGGTGACTATTGTTCTTGTGTGCGTAGATCTGGTAGTGTAGAGGCTGCTAGTGTAGGTGCTTGTGAGACTATTAACACAGGTGCAGTTCCTACGAAGACTTAGCTCACCTTCACATTGGACTCCAACGTATCTTGGTGCTTCTTCCGCGATTGCATCAAAGTCACCCTGCTCCCGGCACCCGCCCCTGTCACCGTGGCCGATCCCTCCTTTTGCTCGATCATTTCACGCGGGTCCACTGTTCTCCCATGTCCGGCGACCCCCTCTGGCTCCCTCACGGGTCTCCACCTCCTCTCGATCGCTACGAACTTGGTGAGAGAATATGATGGTCACCACCACCACACCTGGGGGCGAGCGTGTGGCGATTTGTACTGACACGGAGACTAGAGACCATCTTGCCACTTATACACGTAGGCCTGGGACTGGACTAAACACACTGCACACTAAGTCTGCTTAGGTAGCTGCGCCTTGCTCGTGTCAGTTGCTCACGCACCCGTCCCTCCTCTGGCACTACCATCTTGGTCACCCCTCCCTGTAGCATATACGCGCATGCACTTGTGTTTCCTTGTCTCTGGCGTCCCGCGGTCCCTGCCCCTGCTCCCGCTAATCGCGACCCAAATCACGTCGGTACCCCCCCCCCCCCCCTCCCCCCCCCCATCTTCTCCCTCCGGAAATCGCATCAGGGTGGTACCCGAGAGTAGTCTTTATCATCAGGGCGAGCGCATAAGGCCTGTCTGAAGTATCATTGTAAAAAAAATAATCATATTTTCTTTTTCCGTTTAAGGGCGCCTCATAATACAACTCTGTAAAACAAGGGTGAACACCTATACCTCCCCTTATAGTAAGGCCATAAGGGTGTTTCACCCTTATATTCAGAGGCATGCAAGCTACCGTTTGCATGTTTGCCTATACCGTATATTGCTCGCTCATGCCTTTGCTTACATTGTACTACTTCTGATTTTGCTTTGTTGCATAATGTTACGAGTGCAATTGAGTGAGCGAGCAAGGATTGCACTATCGAAGCAAAAGTACAATGAGCGAAGGCATGAACAAAGAATATATAGCGAAACTATATTGGTAACGGTAATGTGTGAAAATTGGGGTGCGAGACGGGCCTAGCGCCGAGGTTGGGAAATGTCGAGGCGGTAGGTCCGGAGCGCCGGTTACCAACCGAACCGTGAGATTGGGTCGCGCCGTGAACAGTGGAGGGAACAATGTCGAGGCGAATGTCGCGAGTGGTAACGGTTTTACTGTTGGGTGCTGTTGGCGGGAACAGTGGTGTACGCGCTGAGCAGGGACGCGAAGTAAGGAAAAGGAATTTTCCTTACACTACCCCCCCTCTAAGGAGGCCCTCCTTACAAAAGCGCGTGTACATCCCGGAAATTCCGGCTGCGCAGATACTCGGTGAGGACGGGGTGGTTCTCAATCCTGTCTAGGGGAGCCCAGTTGTCTTCAATGGGCGTTCGGTCTTTCCAGCGGATTAGGGACTCGATCCTTCGAGCTCCTCGTGGGTCACGAACTCGGTGGCTCAGAATTTTCTTGGGCGTGATGATTGGCTCTGTCGGCGGTCGAGTCATGCTGGTTGGGCGGTTGCGGGGCAGTTGGCTGGTGGATGGTACGTAGGGGCGGAGCAGGCTGACGTGGAATGACGGGGTGACGTACTAGTCAGCGGGGAGGAGGAGGTGGGCGGTGATGGGTGTAATCATGTGGCTGATGTGAAATGGCCTAGAATATCAGGGGCTGAGTTTTGGGGTGATGGGCAGGCGGATGTTCTGAGTGTCGAGTAAGACTAGGTCGTCGGGCTGGTAAGTGACAGGTCGGGGGTGGCGGTCAGCGTTGCGTTTAGCGATAATGTTAGACTTTTAAATCGCGTCTGCTGCTCGGGTCCGTGCTGCTTGTAGAATTTCAGCGAATCGTTGTGCCCGTGGCACCGGGTTTTCGGGATACTAGGTCATGGGTACTGTCTGGTCTTGTCCATAGTTCAGGTAAGACGGTGAATATTGGGTCGTGGCGGATGGCGAGTTGTTGTATGCGAACTCGATGAGTGGCAGCTGCTGTTCCCACGTGGTCGGGTCGTCGCACGTGGCTCGTATGAGTTGTTGCATGGTCTGATTTGTCCTTTTTGTCTGTCCGTCGGTCTCTGGGTGGTACGAAGAACTAAACTGTTGTCGCGTGCCGAACTGCAGCCACATGTTCCGCCAGAAGGTGCTGGTGAATTTCGTGTCACGATCGCTGATGATTGCTGCTGGTATCACGTGTAGTCGAACGACGGTGGCGATGAAGAGGCGGGCTGTTTCTTCTGCTGTGATCGATTACTTGCAGGCTGCGAAGTGGGTCATTTTCGTCAGCCGATCGACGACGACCAGGATCGCGTCATTCCCACTCGCTCCGGCCGGTAACCCCGTGACGAAATCCATCGTCACCTGCTGCCAAGCATGCTCTGGGGGTGGTATCGGCTGCAACTGTCCTACCGGCCGCTTCCGTGATGATTTCATGAGCTAGCAAATGGGACACGATGCCGCGTGTCGCTGTACGTCGGTCAACATTTTTGGCCAGTAATAATACCGTTGCAGCTGCTGCCGTGTTTTCTCTACCCCAAAATGTCCCGAAGTAACTGCGTCGTGTGCCTCCTAGAGCAGTAATTCCCGTAGTAGTGAATACTCCGGTACCCAGATGTGGTCGGTGCCGACTTTTACGTAATAAACTCATTTGGCTGCTGTGAACTGGTGCGAATTTCCTCCTGTGATGAATGGATCTGTTTGATACCCATGGGTAAATAGTCCTGTCAGTAGTGGGCTGGTCTGGGCAAGTATTATCGCATGGATCTGGGCAATGGGGCGGGTCAGTGCGTCGGCGATGTTCGATTGCCCCTTTTTGTAGGTGAATGTGTAGTGAAAATTGGACTTGAGGAAATTGAGCCAGTGGATCTGTCGTGGGTTGAGGTGTGGTTGTGCGCAGAGGTACTGTACTGATTTATGGTCTGTCGGTACTGTCACGTCTGCGCTCGTCAAGTAACAGCGCCATACTTTGAATGCGTGCACGATCGCGAGCATTTCGCGGTCGTGTATCGGGTAATTCTTCTCAGGCGGATGCAGTTTTCATGATTCGTATGTGATGGGCAATAGGCCGTTGCCGAAGTCCTGTAGCAGTATGGCTCCGATGGCGATGTCGCTGGCGTCTGTAACTACTTTGAATGGTCGGTGTGGGTCGGCGATGCGCAGTACGGGCGGTGAACAGAGAACATTTTTCAGGGCAGAGAAGGCAGCATGCTCTTTCTCCCCCCACGTAAAAGCGACCCCCTTGTGCAGTAA